ATAAAAACGACTAAATGAGATAAAAACGACTAAATGAGATAAAAACGACTCATCCTTAAAACTGGCTTGTAAGGGAGGGTGCTGAACAGCTTATAAGCCCACAAATGCATGTTTGAAAAGTGTATATAAATGATATTGAAATTTACTGGGATAATTTTTATAGCTATAAATTGAAAATGTCTCCAACTAGTGTGATGACTAGTCCCGATTATTCAAATGCAAATTTTGCATTTCAAAAAATCAAATTATTTCGGATTGGGTGTGAATATTCAGAAGGTATATTGTGAAAGTCATGAATTTTTATTTTTATTTTTAATTATTATTATTATTATTATTATATTTTATTGTGCAATCTGGATTATTAAATACGGAAATGTGTGATCTAATGATCTACATTAATTTATGTCAAAAGATGCAACAATTCCAAAAATATGTTTGAAAATCTATAAATAGGGCCCCTAAATCCATATTTCCTGCCCCAAATAAATTCAAGAAATATTAAATCTAAATTCTTTACTCTTTTCAAAATATTATGTTGCTTTTCTTTTGTTGAAATTAAATTTCGTCCGAAATATTTTCAAAAATAAAATTATATTCAAGCAATTTTAGTTCTATCCATTTTGTTTGTAAAGAATACTATCAACACTTTGGTTCGTTCTACAAAATTAATATTGTACTATATTAATTTTAAAAGAAATGTTGTATATTGAAAGACGTACATCCATCTGACCTTGTTAATGCCAATTCAGGAGCGAAATCAGTTTTAAGAAGATACGTGATTGCTTATTTCACTTCATTTCATTTTTTATTTTATACATTTTAGTAAGTCATGTTTGATTGTATTTTCTTGCACACATCTCGATTTCAATAAGTTGAAACTCTGTACGATATTTTACTAGTAAAATGTAGTCGTCGAATATAAATTATGCATCAATATATTCAACAATCTTAAAACGGATTCTACATATGTGACTTTTCTAGTTTATTTCTTTTCGTTCTTTTTCGTTTATCTTCTAATTTCGTATTAGAAATGACAAGGGAATTTTACATTTTTTTTTAATGATTATATTCTGTTGAATTTTATGTGAAATTTAATCTTGCATATAGAATTTGCAGAAAATAAAGGTTACTAATTTAGATCACGAATGAATTTATGTCATAATCATATTCACATATTGTCCGTGTGTGGTGTTATTAAAATATCTTATTGCATTATTATTATTATTTTTTCGTCGGTAAATATAAATTTCATTGATCAAAATATTCATATACAAGTATACCGGGCATACCTAGAAAAAAAGTCAATATTATAAACAATTACTCCGAGCATACCCAGGAGATACAAAAAGTGAAGTGCATAAAAATTCAATGACCCAACACTAAGGACTCGAAATATCTGATTGTATTATATTAGTAGAACATGGTATATGTTGTTTACATGCGGCTTATAACAAGAAAGATGTATGAAATGAGTTTATTATGAAATTAAATTTTTGGCAATTGAATTTACATGAAAATTAGATAAATGCATATTTGCATTATTATTGATGTCTAATTATTTTGATTTCTTGTGTGAATCAATACCAGTGTTTCATTAGAAGGGTTGACATGAATAAATGGAGGAACTAGAATTCAATTATTATTATATTATCTGTTTAAGCGAATTATTAAAGACATGTTACACGATTTGGAAAAAGTTTGATCTTTCTTACTTAAGGATAATATAATTGAGAAAAAATTGTGTAAGTATACGATAAGCAAGCAATTGAAAGAACATTGTTCTTGGAAAGGAACTTCTGTCAATATTTGTTATGATATTGCATGACCTTAACAAGATATTGTCATCCTGCACAAAAGATAAAAGGAAATGGATAATGATATATTAGATAGATAGTCTTATTACTTAATTTTGATTAAATTATGTGAGATGAGAGTTGCGCAAAATAGAGATAATATTATATTATCACCATTAGTAACGATTGCACGATGAAAGTGTGTTTAAGCGCTATTGTATTGAGAATTGCCTCTAAATAAATAATGAATGTGAAAACATAAATGTTAAAGTTGGTTCGACCTAGGAATTGTGGGAGTCAAAAAGTTCATTCTCAACATAGGACTTTGTAGAGGTAGCATTGTATGTATATCACATTCTTTTTTTTATTTTGTAATTATTTGTATGTCTTTGAAAAATTTCTATGAAGATGGAAATGTTGAAAACCCTTGTATATACAAAAATGTTTTACGAAGTTGATGGACCATAGATCAAAAGTGATTATAATTGACTGCTCCAAATAAGAAAGTGCATGAACTTTCAAGAGATATGGCCATTCTTAGACATTTATATGTTGACTAGACGTGAAGTAAAATTATTTATTTGATAGATAAATATAATTAACGATACGATCGAACTTTATACAATTTGATGAATATTATGTTGCTAACTTGAGTTATATTCAGAATTGTGGGGACGTGTTTTGTTTAAAAAATATTCTTAGTTAAAGCTGGGATGTACCTAGAACTTGTGGGGATGGTGATGCTTTCTTCACATTAAAATTAGAATATTTGAAATGATATTCGAACTTTATATAATTTGATGAATATTATGTTGCTAACTTGAGTTATACATTGAATTGTGGGGACATTTGTTGCTTAAAAAAAATGCTCAGTTAAAGTTTGGATGTATCCAGAACTTGTGGGGATGGCAATGCTTTCTTCACATTAGAATTAGAATACTTGAATGTTTGAAATGATAAATTGCATGGTTAAAACCTTGTTAAACTTAAGTTATGCACAATGTTTAAAATTGGATATCCAATGAAATGATTCAAAATTTGATAATAAATATGTTTTACTATTGAGAGCGTGGTTGTTTCGTAATCCTCCAATCAACTTGAGAATTTGAAGATAAAATTGAAGCTTTAAATAATGTCAGATGGAAGCAAGATTACTTCAGAAAATTTCAAAGGATTGTTTTAATTGGTGACAATTTATGCGTGTTATATGATTTAATTGAGATAACTAGCTACATGACAGAAATGTCACATATAACGGTAAGTCTCAACATATATATTGTTGACATAATATCATTTGGCAATTGCTCATAAATTGAATAATGTCAATTGATCTCACCCCCCCCCCCCCTTGGGCTCTATTAAAATAGATTTTGGAGAAAAATATGTTTAGTAGTAATCTTTTTGGAGAATATACATTTAGAAATTAGATTTACGTGTAATACTATTTTACTGTAGAATGTGATTGAAAATAAGGAAGGAAAAATGCATTTCTATTTTCTTTTTCAAAAATGGAGCCCAAACAAGGGCTTTGTTAAATCTTAGAATAACCTAACAAATTTGCTTACAAATGGGTTATCTAGGGAGAATAGATTGCACATCGACAGAAATAGTTTTAATGCCTAAACTAATGGGCTAGCATAATGGAAACTTAATCCAACGACTAGAGATCACAAGGATTAGATTCAATAGGAAAACTGATTATAATTGACTTAATGAGAAACGCTTCGAAAATTTAACTCCTTCCTACTTCTATTATGTAAATTAGTGTTTCCTACCTAAGATATGTTAGGATAAGCTATGCTTTTAGTGATGATTATATCTTGTAAATAGTACAAGTGAAGAATTTTAGTGTACTCTTTATAAAACATTACCTACAAGTTGTATGAGAATTTTACAGCACACTTATAGAACTCAAGAAGGTTCATAGATGAAATAATGAATTCAAAAGAGAAACAAAGTTTGATATGAGAATTAATGTATTTGATCTATGCTTACAATAATGATCAACTGTTCAAAACGTTGCATTCACTGATTAGCCGAGTGATTCCTATAGATTCTTACTAAGGACGGTTCACAACGAAAGCTATCGTCCTTGATACAATTTATTTCAGTAATTCTTTTTCAATCTTCCTTATTTTGAGCTTCTGTTTGACAATTATTATTTGAAAACTCTTTTTTCTATATACTCTTTTTTAATCACACGTTCACACAATAAAATATTTTGAATGTAAATCCAAAAAATCTCATACTTTTTAATCACACATTCTCTTAAAAATCACTTTTCAAAACATTGTTTTCCTAAATAATGGCCATCAAACATGGGATGAGTCAACTTCTTTCAATCATGTAAAAGATTGTTCGAATTCATGGGATAATTTTTATTGGTGTGAATTGAAAATGTTTGTAACTGGTACGATTACTAGTCGCGACACTTTAAGCGCATGTGAAAGAGTATATTGTTTCAAATTAGGAGTGACAATTCAAAAATATACATTATAAAAAGCACGGCCTTTTGATATAGTATACAATCTACATTATTATTATGTGAATATGTGATCTTATTGTTCACATTAATTTATGTCAAAAGAATGCAAATATTTTAAAGAGATACTTGAAAATTCATAAATAGGAACTGCTTCTTGCACCCAATCAATTCAAGAAAATTTGATTTCTAAATTATTTTCGCCCTTTTCAAAAATATTACGTTATTTTTATATTATTGAAATTAATTTTCATTCTAATTACTTTCAATAATAAAATTATGTTCGAGCAATTTTAGTTCGTATGTATTCTGTTCATGAATAATACAAAACACTTTGATTTGCCCCCAAAAAATTAAAATAGTGTTATCTTAATTTTGGAAAAAACGTTATATCTTTGAAGACGAATATCTACTTGATTTTGTTAGCATCAATGTAGGATCAGAATCCGTTTTAAGGAAATTTGCAATGGCATACCTCGTTTTATTTTATTTCCTTCTATTTTTCTACATTTCAATATGTCATGAGTTGACAATATTTTCTTGCACGCATCTTGATTCGATACGTCGAAATTCTGTATGAGTACATTTTAGTTGTTGAATATAATAAATAGATAGAAATAGTGATGAATAAATGGGTATTACTTGTAAATTTCTAGAAACATATAAATAGAAAATAATTTTAACGTTTATAAATAATTTATAAACATGAACTAAATATATAGTCATTCTACTTCTCTTTCTAGAGTCGACCGAGAGCCTATATTTCCAACCAGGTGACATCAAGAAAACCAATCTTTTATTGAAATTAGCCTCCTAGGTCACCCATCCGTGACAAAGATAATTTAGAAGGCTGTCTGTTCCGATACCAATTATAACAACCACATTTGCTAAAAATCACCCATAAAGGTAATTTGTGATAGGAATGGATCCAATATAATCCATACACACAAATATTAACCTATCAATGAGAGATCTATGATTACCGTGTGTTAATTTATGACGAAAATTCCATTAACTCATTTGGGTAGTTTCATTCTCAAACCCTAAATTTATTTCTTTATTGTCTTCCCATTTTGCTATGGCTTTAATAAAAATTACTACTTTAGTCCTTCATTTCAATTACTATATGGCCCTTCAACTATTCTATTTCATAAAATTAAGTCTATTCTACTCTACAACAAAATAATTTAATCTTATTTTGCCGTCCAGATCATTCCACAAAAGAATGGAAAGACGGCATCGTTGAATGAATAAGCTATTTTGTCCTTTGCTCTCACGATAAAACGCCTTCAAATTCAAAACCCATTATATCGCTTTCTTTTTTCCAGCTATTTCTCTCCAAAATCCATATTATTCTTCCCCAGAAAGATTAGTGGTTACTATTCTGAAATGCATACAAGTGTACCATCAGTATCAGCAATTGCCTCTGGGTATTTTGATTTTGCCCTTTTCAATTTCAATCATTTTGAAGGAAAAAGTACTATGAACACATTTAATTGTCGTATTTTTTTAAATTTATTTCTGTTTCTTTTTATTGGTTTAACGGTGCTACACCTTTTCCCAGAAGTGTGAAAGAGGTCCTTCCACCTGCTCTTGATTCCTCTTCAGAACCACCTGCAATTTTTGATGGAACCCCCAAGTCAGTACATGATAGATTTATTTTATATGTTTTCGGTTTAGTTTCATTCTGTAAGTTTCGAGTAGGTATAGGCACTTTCTGGTTCTGAAGAGAACTGAACCAAACTAAGAGCCCATGGAAATCTTGTAAATGGAACAATTGGTACCACGTTCGGTTTGATTCCATAATTAGAGTTACATAATGATACCGGGAGGAAATGCGAAATATGGACAAAAGTTCCATAAATTCTTTGAACCAAACACAGTAAAAGTTGGGTTCATTCTGGTATTTCTGATCCAGGTACTAAAACCAAGAACCAGACCGGACCGGCTGATTCTTGGTTAGTACCCGGAACCAATTAAACTTAAGCAGAATCAGGCTGAACTTGCCAGTTTGGTACTTTTGTCCACCCATATTAACTATCAAGCACTCTTCTTTATAATTTTTCTTTCTTTTTCCCGCCAGTGTTTTAGAAATTGCTTGTGTAAATCCTTGCAAATCCTGATGCAATTCCTTCATTTTAGGCTCTATATATCTTACACATGCCCATATGCGCAGCGTACATGGATTACCCGAAATTATAAGGTTGTTTTGAGAATTTTTCTTACTCTGGTTTATGCTTAATTTGTTTTTCTTTCCACAGTCAGTTGTTTCTGATTGAAGCATTGATTTCCCAAGAATATTTACGCTCGAATTTTCATTTGGGACAGGGATTGCAAGACAAGATCATATTGGTTCCTATTGATCTTAAGAACAGGCCTGCTTGGTACAAGGAGAAAGTATACCCTGCAAATAAGGTGCAAATCATATAAATGAAAAGATACTTCGTGTGCCATTTCTGGAAAAGCATTAATAATTTCTGGAGCTATATTTCTTTGCAGTAATTTTTGGTTTAGGACCTTTTTTTTTTTTTTTTTTTTTTTTTTTTTTTAAAATCAAGACAAGATCATATTGGTTCCTATTGATCTTAAGAACAGGCCTGCTTGGTACAAGGAGAAAGTATACCCTGCAAATAAGGTGCAAATCATATAAATGAAAAGATACTTCGTGTGCCATTTCTGGAAAAGCATTAATAATTTCTAGAGCTATATTTCTTTGCAGTAATTTTTGGTTTAGGACCTTTTTTTTTTTTTTTTTTTTTTTTTTTTTTTTTTTGCTTGAAAGATTTGTTGCTTGCTTATTGATTACCAGGAAATCTCAAAGAATTTGTAACACTTCAAAATATGGGAACTAAAGTTAAATAAATAAATGTGTTTCTCTTCAATATATTGAACTTTATGATGAGGTAGTTCAACATGGTACCAACTAGACAAAGGTTTTGAGTTCAAGGGTTCACTGCCACGTACTTATAACTATTGTAAACCTGTTAGACCTTTGATGAGAATGAATTGGGCATGCACACAAGAAGACACGTTGAAGACTAAATTGAGATTAACAGATGTGTTCCTCTATAATCGCTTAAGCTTTTAAATATGGTGGTTCATCACAAATCAGCTTATGAAACTGATATCTTGTGTTCTGTTATGGAAATAGAAACGAGACCAACAATATACAATAATTTTTTGGACAATGCTACATTTACATAATTTTTTTTATCTAATCCTTTATCTACTATTCACAATAGGGGGTGGGGACCACATTTGGAAATTTTTATGTTCACGCAAGGTCTGCGTGCATTTTGAGAGGGGGGACAAGTTTCGGTACCCTCAATTCGGTGCAAATGGAATTATCCTAATTTTTTTCCTGATGTAATGCTTTCGTGCAGGTACCATCTTTAGAACACAATTACCAAGTTATGGGAGAAAGTCTTGATTTGATTCGATACATTGATAGTAACTTTGAAGGACCACCTCTTTTTCCAGATGTAAGATCTCTTGAACTTCTAATTCCTGCATTCTTTACCTAGTTTATTCCTAAGTCCTAACTGCTAGTCTAGAGCTGACAAAATAGGATCCTGCCAAGAGAGAACTCGCTGAAGAGTTGCTGTCATACACAGACTCCTTCCGCAAAGCTGTAACTTCTTTTTTCAAGGGTGATGAAATGAGTGTAGCTGGTAAGTTTGGACTTTTAATGGCAGAAAGGTGAACTCATAATTTGGAAGAAATATGTAACAAAGTACTAATTGCTGGTCCACTACAGGGGCAGCTTTTGATAACATGGAAACTGCTCTTTCCAAATTTGACGATGGACCTTTTTTCCTTGGGCAGTTCAGTTTGGTACGTGAAGGATTGAGTTGCATTGTTTATTGTTATTTTTTCAGCATCTTGTCGAATGTTAAGTCTTAAGTCAAGCAAGTGGAAGTAAATTTCGTAGAAAAAAAATATTAAGATGTGATTTGTTGATGTGTTAATATAGATGACTTTGGGTCTTGGACATAGAATAACTGTATTTTTCTATGATTTTAATTTTTGTGCTACATCTAAAGCCAGTAATCAACTTCAGGTGGATATTGCTTATGCTCCATTTATCGAAAGATTTCAAATCTTTTTAATGGAAGTGAAGAATTACGATATTACGGTTGGAAGGCCAAGACTTGCATTATGGATTGAGGTACTGCATTTATATTTCTGACCAAGTGAACTAAGGGTGTGGATGGAGAAAATGACAGAAGTGTAGCTGATATTTTCTATCCATTTAAAATTCCTGAATAGTTCTTATAACCTGAATGCAGTCTTCTAATCAGAAATGAAGCTCTTCAAAAAGTTCGATATTAGAGATATAAGCATTAAGTTTGGAATATTCCTCGTCTGCGTGAGTATAAATAAAAAAATGGCAATCCAAAAGTCATGACTTCAAATTCTAGACCCCTAGAAAAGTCAAAGAAGTAATATTCCTCAAATTGTCAATATTCAGTTGAAATCTGTATATGGAACATTCAGCTGAAATGGAACCATGATATATGGTTGCTTCACTTCTGCAGGAGATGAACAAAATTGAAGCATACAAAGAAACTAAGCGTGACCCCCGAGAAACTTGTTGAAAGCTACAATTTAGGTTTCTTGGTATTCTCTATATTCTATGCTTTCTAGAAGTTAGTCTTCGTTTTTTCATTTGAAGTTAGAGCATAATGACACAGAAAGACAAGTCGGATTTTCCATTTCACTCTTTCCCGTGTTTGTGCAGTCTGCTATGTGAACTCTTGGGGAGTCACACGACGTGAAGTTTTAACAGGCGGAAGCTGCTTCTACAATCAAATCTTTCAACATCTACACTTCATTATGTTATAGCTATAGTTGTATATTTTATGTAATCTGCATTTTTCTAATCAAAAGTACGAGGCTTAGTTTCTTCTGGTTAACTTCAGCCATTGATCAGCTGTCCATGACTGGTACATATGATCTTTGTACTATATTGGGTTATAAACGATCTGTATGAATCATATGCACAATTTACACTCGTGTAATATCATGTTTATATATTCTATCAACGATCTGTATCAACTTGTTTCACATACTTCTCTCCATGGAGAGAGTTAGATTTCGACGTACTTCTTTGGAGCAAAGCCTTATAATAAAACAAACCCTAAGTCATCCACGAATATAAAACCATTAATCTTTACTTTTATTCACCCGTTTCAAGGGACACACAAGTAGTATACATTTATTTGTTACTCTATTCTGTCTGTTTATATTTAAATCATAACAATTCGAGAAACATGCTTAATTTCGTTTGACAGATAACTTTTCTACAAACTTTGACAAAATTTTGAGTTTGTCAATGTCAAAATCTGTCCAAACGTCTCAATGGTCCATTAAGGCCAAAATACCGTCCAACGAGAATGCTCCACCACTTATAGATGGAGGTAGATAAATGCAATATCCAGAGGTAGATTTTCTATCATCTGGACTGCCGGCCCAATCACAGTCACAGAAACCATTGAGTTGAAATGATCCCTTCTTAAATTGAAGACCAAATTGTAGAGTCCCTTTGAGGTATCGTAGTACTCTTTTGGCAGCTGTGAGATGAGTAGTGGTAGGACAATGAAGAAATTGGCACAATTGATTGACACTATAGGATATATTCGGTCCGGTGAGTGTCAAATACTGGAGAGCTCCAACCATGCTTTGATACTCAGTAGGATCATTAAGAGGATCACCTGAGTACTTGGAGAGTTTGCTACCTGATGTGCATGGTGTTGGTGTTGGTGTTGGTGTTGGTGTTGGTGCTGGTTTAGCACCAAATCATCTTCATGCGATGCAAAAGATCAGCTTGGGTCCATCTTAATAAAGTTAACCTTATTAGGAGGAGTGACCCAAGATCTATTTAAATTAATCAATATTTTGGTATTTAACCGATGTGGGATTTATTCCTTTAACATGCCGCTGCAAGATGTTACAACGTATATTTCAATTAAAATTCAATTTTGTTACAAATCCACTTCGAGATTCACCCCACGTGGAAGCCATGCCCACATGTACAGGAGTGGTCTTGAAATTTTAAGTGCCCTGTACAAATATCTTTTATTCAATTAAAATTTACACAAAAAAATAAAGCTATTATATTAGTTCGAGCAAATAAAGTTGTAAGACCTATAAAATTTGTGATTAAAATTATTGTTGACTTTGACTTAAATTAAAATCTAGATTTTTAATCGATACCAAATAGGGGCTATTATGCCTAGGCACTGTTGGTCATACAAAAGTAATATGTATGGTCATGTATGATGAGGGTTTATTTGACATCATGCTATTGAATGTATTTGATCTATTGAAAATTTTATTCGTATAAAAATATTCCACAGTAATTGTATAATTATTAAATTAAAGAATATAAAAGAGGGAAAGCGGGGAAATTATAAATTATAAAGACTTAAGCTATCTAATAGTAGTGATTATCCATAGTTCAGGTGACAATATGTATATATAAATTTGATAAAATGGTGATGCATTTCAGTCCATCGGAATACATCTAGATCAATGATGATAACCCAATAAGTAGAATCATTCGTGCATAATTAGAAATTGTTATAAACTAGACAGAAAATAGAAGAAATAGAGAAGTCAATAAACTTATGTATATGTTATTGATAATTCCATATTTATATGCTACAATTAAGATTGTAGGGATACAATAGTCATTCAAAAATATAACTTTATTCACAATACTCCCACCTGAATGACTATTAAACAATAGATGCCTTATTAGAGTTTGGCAAAAATCTGATAAGATAAAGGTACAAAACAAAGGAAAATAGAGTAAAATATATTTAGAGTAGTAAAATGCTGACTTATTAAAATTTTATCAAGAAAATTCAATAAGACAAAACTTGAGCGAAGGAAAAATAGTACAACTACTCCCTCTAATTTTAATTTATGAAAATCCTTTTATCGAGTAATCCATATCTTGTATGCAATATCACAATTGATGAAGAACTTCATATAGTCTTGTTATAACTTCAAACAACACCGTCGTCATACAAGATATTTATCTTTTAGTGGTGATTATCAATAGTTCAGGTGACAATATTTGTAGCATATAAGATTGTTATTTTGAAGATAATTGCCTTACCATGAAAATCTTGTGGGAAAATCCTAATAAAGAAGAAAGAGTGCATTTTTCCGTTGAAGACACTGTAAAGTTGCTTCATTAAAAACATTATCAAGAAAATTTAATAGAATAAAACATTTGTCAAAGAAAAAAGAGTGCCAACACATATTTATTCCCCCTCACAATAATAATACTTGAATTATTTGCTTTAGAAAATCCTTCAAGAATGGTATTAGTAGTCATTCTAGATAGCACATTTATCATTCATATCAAATTTCATATATTGTTGGATAGCAAGATATAAACTTGTAACTCTATCTATTACCGTACAATTTATCTATTTATTCAAGTTCGAAGTTTATTATGTTAGAGTCGTTCACTATATCTTAAGATTTTATTTTTCTTGTTTTCATTTCACATAAGTATACATCTTTAACGTTCAGACTGCACGTTTAGGAATTTTAGATTTCTCTTATAAGTTTAGTTTTGTTAGGATTGAATCATTTTATTTGGCTAATCATTTATTCAATTGAAATGTTTAGATAAATTTATTTTGATATCTCCTTTGTTTATAATATGAAGCAGTATATCATGTACAAAAGTGTTGTTGATAATTTTTTATTTTCGAGTATATTTATTTCTCATAATGACATAAATTATTTAAATATCTCCACTTTCAACAAGTACTTGTACGTTTTTTTAGATTAATTAGTTATGTCTGTATATTTTACCTTCTAAATGAGACCATATTTCTTATTTGGTCCTTTTTTCAAGATTTTTTTATTTTTAAAATCGAATGTCACAACACTTGAGACATATCATTTACACTTTTGGTTAGACAAAAGTAACATGTTTTATCTTGTACGATGATGTTCTATTTGACATCATGCTATTGAATGTATTCGATCTATTTAAAAGCTTATTTGTATAAAAATATTCCACAATAATTGTATAAATTATTAAATTAAAGCATATAAAAGAGGTGAAGCAGGGAAATTATAAATTATAAAGACTTAAGCTATCTATTGGTGGTGATTATCAATAGATCAGGTGATAATATGTTTATATAAATTAATAAAATTTTGATGCATTTCAATCCATCGGAATACAACTAGATCGATGATGATAACCTGATAAATAGAATCATTCGTGTTTAATTAGAAATTGTTATAAAATAGAGAGGAGATAGAAGAAATAGAGAAGTCAATAAACTTTTTGTATGTCTTTTATTGAGAATTCCATATTTATTTGCTACAATTAAGGTTGCAGAATTACAATAGTCATTTAGAATTACAACTTTATTTACAACACTTCCACTTGAATGATTATTTACATCATAAATGTCTTATTAGAGTTTGGCAAAAAGCTGATGGTATAAAAATACAAAACAAAGGAAAATAGAATACAAAATATTTAGAGTAGTGAAATGCTAACTTACTAAAATCTTGTCAAAAAAATTCAATAAGACAAAACTTGAGCGAAGAAAAAATAGTATAGCTGCTCTAATTTTAATTTATGAAAATCCTTGTATCGAGTCATCCATATCTTGTGTGCAATATCTTCAATATCACAATTGATGAGGCTCATATTGTCTTGTTATAACATCAAACAATACCATCTTCATACAAGATATTTATCTTTTAGTCGGCATGATGGTCCCTTGAAAAATGGATTTTGTAGTTGCTCTTTTCGGAAGTCTCGTACACAATTTGTAGCATATAAGCTTATTATTCTAAAGATAAATATCTTTCAGATTATGTCATTATACTAAAATTATGCATTATTAAAACCTAATTCTGAAAATCTTGTGGAAAAAAATCCTAATAAAGGAAAAAGAGTGCATTATTCCATTAAATACATTATAAAGTTGTCTTATTAAAAACATTGTCAGGAAAAATTAATAGGATAAAACCTTTAAAGAGTACAACACATATTTATTCCCCCTCACAATAATAATACTTGAATTATATGCTTAAGAAAATCCTTCAAGAATGGTATTAATGGTCCTGCTAGATTTTCAAATTTATTATTCATATCAAATTTCATATATTGTCGCATAGCAAGATCTAAACTCGTAATTGTATCTATTAACATCCAATTTATCTATTTATCCAAGTTTTTATGAAGTTTATTATGTTAAGAGTCGTATTTTACTTTTCTTATCTTTATTACACATAAGTATACACCTTTAACGTTCGCAATGGACATCCACAAACTTTAGGTTTATCTTATAAGTTTAGTTTTGTTAGGATTGCGTCATTTTATTTGGCCAATCATTTTTTCGACTAATATGTTTAGATGAATTTATTTTGGTAGCCCCATTATTTATAATATGAAGTGGTATATAATATGCAAAAGTGTTGTCGATAATTTTTTTCTTTTTGATTTTATTTATTTCTCGACCAACAAGGAGAGTAGTGGCTTAGGAGTTGGCATGAACATCTCCAGCGCTACAAGCAACGATAAAAGGCAGTGCAGGAAGAAAAAAGATCTCTGCGCGTGAACTGTCGTTCTCAGTTGACCGTGCCATAAGTGTCGCGGAAGAAGTGGCGGCGAAGATTAATACCATGATGGCTTCGAACGACAACACTAGCGCTGCTTGCATTGAAGAGTTGTTGGTGACAGCACGGCTCCGACGATGTACACATTTCTACTTTTTTGCACGTGCACTTCTTGTACAGAAGCATTATCGGGACATGCTCGGTGTCATGAAAGACACGGATGAAAAATTTGAGTGGATCAAATGGATGTTCAATGAGCGAGACTAGTAATTCCGCCTATGATTGTGTGTATTTGATGTCCGTGAGTGATCAGTATGAAAACAATTTTCATTTTGAATGCACTTTTGTCTCACAGTTGTACGTTATGTGTGTGAATATTTATGCTAACGTTAAAACTGTTTCTACGTATTGCACTCAATAATTTTAGCCCGTAAAAAAA